CGACGCCATGAAGATCGGGCGTACGTCCGCCTAGAACAAGCTGCTCCACGAAAGACCGACGTGTGGAGAACGGCCGATCGACGCCCGTTGTGTTACCACTGCGGTGAAGCGGGCCACATTTACCGTCGATGCCCCTACCGACAACTGGGGCTCCGCGGGTTCTACCCGAACGACCCGCGCCCAAGGTACGACGAACGCCCTCGTGACATCGAGGAGTACCTCCGACGTTCGCCATCTTCAACGCCGCTCCGCCGTGAGTCCCGCTCACCGTCGCCCAGACGTGCAGCGTCTCCAGCGCCACGACCCCGCCGAGAGAGCCTGTCGCCCTTGCGTCGCCGGGAAAACTAAGTGCGGCAACGCCAGGAGGTGGCGTTGCCGAAGACGACCGAAGTAAAGAGCCTCCAAGAACGCCGGAGCACTCCCACTCTCTCGACGCTACGCATCACAACGACGTCTTTGCATCGGTGTCCAACAACCTAAGCATCATTATCGACGGCCACGACGCATCGGCACTCGTGGACACCGGAGCAGACTACTCAGTATTGAGTGGGAGGCTCTCTCGCCGCTTGCGAAAAGTGACAACGCCGTGGGAAGGCCCTCAAATACGAACCGCCGGTGGGCACCTCATCACACCAGTCGGGCGATGCACTTCTCGCGTCGAGATCCACGGTGAGACGTGCCCTGTGAAGTTCGTCGTTCTGCAGGACTGTTCGAGAGACGTTATCCTCGGAATGGACTTCCTCGGCGAGTATGGCGCCGTCATCGACCTCAGAGCAAACCGGCTAACTCTGCGAAAACCTGTTTCACTACCGAAGGAACCGAAAGCGACGTCATCCGCGGTCCGAGTCCTCGCAAGTCACGTAAACTTACCGCCGCGGTCGAGTGTTTTCGTACCTGTCGGGATCACCGAAGCTTTCTGCGGCGAAGTTCTGCTCGAGCCTCCAGATGCTTCTAGGAAGAGGAATAGGCGTCGCAAGAGGGGTAGCTGAACTTCAGGATGGCCGCACTGTGATCCTCATGGCGAACTTCCGAAACGAAGCGCAATACCTCACGAAAGGGGCAGCCGTTGGCCACGTCGAGGAACTCCGAAACTCCGCGGAAATCGCCGCCATTGCTGACGAATCCTCGCCACCTCAGCAAGACAGTACGTCGCCAGCGCAGCTCGACATTGACCCTAAGCTTCCGGACCCGAAACGACGTCAGCTGTTTAACCTTCTCGCCGAATACCGCGACTGCTTTGCGACGTCGTCGAAGGTGCGCCAAACCGCCGTTGCGAAGCACCGCATCGTTACCGAGGACGACGCGCGCCCTGTGCACCGATCTCCATACAGAGTCTCCGTCAAAGAAAGGCAGGTGATCCAGGAGCAAGTTGAAGAGATGCTGAACGACGACATAATTCAACCCTCAAGCAGTCCTTGGGCCTCCCCAGTCGTACTGGTTAAGAAGAAAGACGGGACGCTTAGGTTCTGCGTGGACTACCGGCAGCTGAACGCAGTGACGAAGAAAGACATCTATCCACTCCCCCGCATCGACGACACGTTAGACCGGCTGCGCCATTCTCGATACTTTTCATCGATGGACCTGAAGAGCGGCTACTGGCAGATCGAAGTCGACGAACGGGACCGAGAGAAGACAGCCTTCGTCACACCGGATGGGCTGTACGAGTTTAAGGTGATGCCCTTCGGACTATGCACGGCGCCAGCAACTTTCCAGCGTGTCATGGACACCGTACTGGCAGGACTGAAGTGGCAGAGCTGCCTCGTCTACCTCGACGACGTCGTAGTGTTTTCCGGCGACGTCGACGAGCACTTGCGACGACTCCGAGCTGTTCTCCAAGCCATGCGGACCGCCGGACTCACCCTCAAGCCGTCAAAGTGTCGGTTCGCCTATGACGAACTGAAGTTCCTAGGTCACGTGGTAAGTAACGAAGGCATTCGTCCAGACCCAGAGAAGACTCGCGCCGTCGCAGCATTTCCAGTGCCAAGAGACAAGAAGGCCGTGCGAAGGTTCCTTGGGCTATGTGCCTACTATCGGCGCTTCGTTCGAGATTTCGCAAGGATCTCCGCACCGCTCACAAGCCTCACGAAGGACGCCGAGAAGTTCGAATGGGCCGAGGAGCAGCAGCATGCATTCGACGAGCTGAAGCGACGACTGCAGGCGCCTCCTGTTCTTGGACATTTCGACCAGGATGCGGAAACCGAGATTCACACGGACGCAAGTAACGCAGGACTTGGCGCGGTACTGGTTCAAGTACAAGAAGGCAAGGAGCGAGTCATCGCCTACGCAAGTCGGACATTGTCCAAGGCGGAGCGAAATTTCTCCACGACTGAAAAAGAATGCCTTGCGGTCGTCTGGGCGATCACGAAGTTTCGTCCGTACTTATACGGAAGCCCGTTCCGCGTAGTCACGGACCACCATTCGCTCTGCTGGCTTGCGAACATCAAGGAACCGTCAGGACGCCTTGCGCGATGGAGTCTCCGACTACAAGAGTTCAACATGACCGTAGTCTACAAGTCAGGCCGCACGCACAGCGACGCCGACTGCCTGTCCGGAGCTCCCGTCGAAACACCTTCCGACAGCAGCGACGACGATGACGACGAGTGTTTTCTAGGCGCAGTGAACAGCGACGACATGGCCCGACGACAACGAAACGATCCTGAGCTGCGCGCACTAATAGAGCACCTAGAAGGGCGTGGGAGCGCAATACCACGTGTTTTCTCACGAGCCCCGCCGACCTTCGCCATTAGACAAGGAGTTCTCTACAAAGAGAACTTCGGCAACAACAACTCGACGTGGCTGCTGGTAATCCCGACCGACCTTCGAGAGGCGATCTTTCAAGCCTGCCACGACGACCCGACGTCCGGACACCTTGGTTACAGCCGGACACTGGCCCGTATTCGTGAAAAGTATTACTGGCCCAAGCTCCCCAAGACCGTTCACTTATACACACGATCATGCCATGAATGCCAGCGACGAAAGAAACCTCCAACGAAGCCGGCCGGACTCTTGCAGTCAATTCCTCCGCCAACGGCACCCTTCCAGCAGATCGGAATGGATCTACTTGGCCCTTTTCCGCCGTCGACGTCGGGAAATCGCTGGATCATCGTCGCCACAGATTATCTCACGCGGTACGCCGAAACGAAAGCCCTTCCTTCCGGAACTGCTGTGGAAGTTGCCAAGTTTTTTATTGAATCCATCGTCCTCCGGCACGGCGCTCCCGAAGTCCTGATCTCAGATCGTGGATCCTCGTTCATGGCCCAGCTGACACAAGAAGTCCTTCGTCTCAGCCACACCAGCCATCGTCGCACCACGGCGTACCACCCTCAGAGCAACGGGCTGACGGAAAGACTCAACAAGACCATCGCCGACATGATTTCCATGTACGTCGACGTGGAGCACAAGACATGGGACGAGGTGTTGCCGTATGTCACCTTTGCCTACAATACGGCCGTGCAAGAAACCACCGGGGTTACACCCTTTCGACTGGTTCATGGTCGCAAAGTGACCACAATGCTGGCCGCAATGTTACCCCACGAACCGGCTGTCGACGGAAGCGACGACGCCCAGGTGGTTGCCCAACGGGCAGAAGAAGTCCGTCAGCTCGCCAGACTCCGGATTCAAGCCCAACAACGTATCGACACTGACCGCTACAACCTTCGTCGCCGGGACGTCCACTTACAGCCCGGAGACAGGATGTGGGTGTGGACACCGATCCGCCGCCGTGGTCTCAGCGAGAAACTCCTGAAGCGCTACTTTGGACCCTACAAAGTGCTTCGTCGACTCGGTGATCTGAACTACGAGGTGATGCCCGATGGAACACTGACTTCATCACGCCGCCCTCCACGACCAGAAGTCGTCCACGTCGTGCGCATGAAGCCGTACTACGCTCGATAGGACAGTGGACCTTACGTATTCCAAATGACTCTTTAGTTTACCGTTCTTTTTGTTTGCTTTGTTTTGTTTTGTGCTGCATCGGGGCGATGCACTTTTTAAAGGGGGGAGTAATGCCGCGCGCGCTGGCCAAGTAGGCAGCGCGCGTGGCCTAATGGTTATCGCGCCTGCCTCCCACGCGAAAAGCTAGGGTTCGAATCCTGGGAGCGACGTGTCTTTTGTTTATTCCTGTAACTTAGTGTTCTGGAGAATTCGAGAATAATGTTGCTTGTTCCAGGCCCGAATGTTCTACGCGTCTAAGTTTCTACGCCGATTATTCCAGAAGACCACGCATGTACAGTCGGGAGCAAAAGTTTGCGGGGCACGGGAGCGCGTGCCGAAATGCATCGCCGCGCCGTCCGACGGCGCTCCACCGCATTAAGGAGACGCGCTTTGCACATGCGCGTCTTCCGTGCTCGCAATCATGTCTCTTTCGCTCATTTCTTTTCGACGCACTCCTGATAACAGGAGTCGGCGCCAGGGGCGCGAGTAAGCGCTCCGCTGGTTGTCATGCTGTGCGTCTGCTTCAGCCGCCTCAGCCACCGCGCTTTGTCACGGAGGTCGCGTAAGGGGAAGAGGGGGGGGGGGGGGGGGGGGCGTAACCAGGCGTTTCGTCACCCAGCGCGGCTGCTGAGGCAGCTGAAGAGGACGCGAGGCATGACAGCCAGCAAAACGGCAACTTGCGCCCCTGGCGCCGACTCCGGTTATCAGAAGTGAGTCGGACAGAAACGAGCGAAAGAGACATGACTGCCAGCACGAAGGGCGCGCATGCGCAAAGCGCGGCTTTTTAGTGCGGCGGAGCGCCGTTGCACGGCGCGGCGATGCATTTCGGCACGCGCTCCCGTGCCCCGCAAACTTTTGCTCCCGACTGTACATAAGGGGCTCCGCGTGGCGAGCCGCAGTCAGTTTTCGCCCCAGCGTTCGTCTCCACTGCTACGCCGACTTCGACGCCCGCGACGCTCTTTTATTATCTTTTGTACCTTTTTATTTTTGGCACAAGTTCGCCACATTAAACGTTTATTCCTTCCTGTTTATTTCTTGTTTATTGGTCACTACCCGTGACAGTATGATGCATAAGCAGTGTGACCACGGGTTAAAAAAACTATATCTTTTGAATGAAGAAAAAGAGTCGTTAAACTGACGCAGCTATCTTTAGCTACTTTGATTATTTCGAAACCCTCAAGCGACTCGCGTGCTGTTTTATGAATTTCCTCCAAATTATTTGAAGATTTTAAAAATTTATTTAAGTATCAATATGGCTCAAATATCGTTATAATGAAGCATCGCTTATGGATGGTGAACCAAACATTTATATTAGGTGGTGCACGATTTTTCCACGAGACAGCAGCAGCAAGTGTGCGTGAGCACACACAAATAAATTAATGTCATGATCCACCATAGATGACAGCGAAACGGCTGGGCTTCGGGAAAAACGATGATGGAGAGAGGCTTTTCATCTTCACAGTAACGTCTAATGAAAAAGGTAAGCGATTAATTTGTCTAACAAGCACGTAACTTTTACTTGTGGAGATCGAACTAATGTCTTTATTATCTCTTTCCACGGAGCCCATACATTTCACACTCATGTTAAACTGCAGGATCTTCACGTCAAACGCTTTTCTGGTTTAAACACGCAAGAAAGGTGGGAAGAAAAAATGAAGGCACCACTCCACGCTGTGAAGGTAAGCTGTGGTATCATTTGCAGTGATTGCTTACTCCACTATAAGCCCTTTTTTATGGCAAACACCACCAGGAGGTGCTCAAGTTGTTGATGTCCCAGAGAAGTTCCGCTTTATAAAAAGAATGAACAAAGACCACCTTAACACCGCTGCTTGAAATGCAGGTGGAACACTTAACCACCTATTCTACAGGTGAGCACCAAAATAACGAAGCATTAATCGCGAGATCTCTCGCAATGCTTTGAGTACTCTTGTAAACCAACTTGCCTCCTCCAATATGTAATATTGTACAGCCGAAGGCCCTCGTTATCTGCAACATTGTAGTCCGTGCAACATATATGCTTTCTAGCACTGGTGACATAAGCAAGCTCAATAGGCTTGCAAAGACGCGGTTCGACCATAAGTCGCCTGGGACTCAAGAGGCAGTTCATGTTTCGTAAAATATTGAACTCCCAATCATAATCATAAAATTTTCGCCAGGATCCGGGTAGCGTCCGAGTCGCCCCAATCGTACACATGGAAACACAGCCCCCGATTTCCGACGCCGCGACGAAAATCTCAGGAAACCGCTAGGTCTCCTGGGATTTTTCGAAAAGTCTCCTACTTTTAGCGTGAAGTAATCTCATAGTATACTATGCGGCAGAGAGAAATATCCCATGTAATATTACTTCTTTTAAAGGCACAACATTTATAGGTTCAGTCTTTGCGCTTTCATGTCATCATTTACTTAGACAACAACACAAACAAATGTAGTTGTCTGGGGGCTATCGCAAAAGGCAATGAAAATGCCTTACTAGGCAACAGCATCCTCCCCTACCCTGCAACATCACTATAATTGGCAAACAAACAAACAAAAAAACATTCATAGGTATGGCACATTACAAAAAACAAATTGCATTGCTTTTCGGGGATTCGTTGGGTAAAAAAGTAATGTTATATAACACGTTGTAGTAATCTATTGTCATAAAAAATGCAAATAGATTAATGGTGGTATGGTAAGTCTTCTTGGTATATTTTGCTTGTATTACCTTATCCTGATAAGGTTATGCGATCGTTTTTTTTAATTGCCTGCCCTCACACACAAGCAGCTTCATAAAACAACCCTTACGATATAAAGAGAATAAACCTGCAAAAAACCTATTGTTATTATTATTCCGCTGAGTACTGCGTGTAATGCTGCAACAGACTGTGGTTTCAGGCGGACGTGAGAAGAGACTGAGATAAGCCAAAAAGCCGATTCGTGTTTTTTTTTTTATTGTTTTTTCTAGGAACGTGCATCACGTAAGCCCCCATATAGTACATAAACGCAACGCGATTCCTAGCTGAAAATGTTTTTTCCTCGCTAGCGCTATCGCTCAAAAATGGCGTCGTGAAGCCAGAAAACAGAAGCTGGCTGCAGAGAGAAAAGCGCGCCAGCCTTTCACGGCGTCGGGTGTAAGCACCTTGTGGTGTTATCAAGTGGCGCAGAGGCGGTTGGGGAGGGCGGGGTTGGGGTGTCTGTTGTCACGGGTGAAACGGGTGAAGCTGGTAGGTATGTCGTTGTTTTCTTTCATAAAAAAGATGGCTTGGAAAGCTCGAGAGTGCGGTGCCCCCATGGCCTCACTTAAATCTGCCCCTCGACCGGCTTCTTGGCTCAAAAGCGATACCGAGCAACCAGTGAGAGACGCTAGGCAAAAATAGGGAGTTTTAGAATAACGCACGCTAAAGTTTTGCGTACGCAAAGAATAGCGCCGTCGCCACTGCGCATGCTCCGAACGCAAACCAGATTTTGCGCTTTGCGTACGCAATTTTAGCGTGCGCTATTTCTCGGAAATAGCGTGCGTACGCAAAGAGTCCTCGCGCTTCTCCAAGGAGGATTGGTGATGAGAAGTTGGCTAAAGCCAAGACGAGCAGAGTTAAAAAATGGCGGCTTCCAGGATTATGTCGGCGGCTGCTTTGGCGGCGTCGTAAGTGCGACGTCGGCGGCATCCTCGCGACTGCGATTTTCAATGCGGGACGACATTGTACGCGGTTTGGCAACGACCCCCGGCAACTTGATGCTTGCGACGCGTGAACATTTCTCGGCCAAGGTACGATGTGCGAAGGCCAGTACACGAGGCCTCTCTTGCCGAGGCGATGCAAGCGGACACGACCTGACAACCGCTCGCGTCGCATTCTCATGTTTAAACAAATCTAAAATAGTACTCTGAACCAAAAAACTTGTTTTTTTCTAAAGTTACAGCATTTCGTGTGTGAAATAAAAATTGTGACTTTGTGTTGGTGGCGTCGCAAGCGCGAGCTGCTCGGGCTTTTGCGTCGAGGCGGAGAAACGCTATTCTAAAACTCTCTTGCGTCGCGTGCGCTAATACAAGCGCTAAATTTAGCGCTAGCGTGCGCTAAAATTTCGTACGTTATTCTAAAACTCCCTAATGTTACTCTACCGTTCACAAGGGCTCTACAAAAAAGAAGCCCCCGTAAAGGACACAGTACAGACCTACTATAACCACTCAAACCATCGAAGGCTGCACGCCCGCTATCTTTTGTTGTCGGCCATGTTAGAATTACGCTTCTTGCTTAAAAGCTGAGTTAGCAATGCCTCAGTCTTTCGTTGCTGAGCCACCAAATAGGCCTTGGCCTGTAACAGACGGCGCTCCTCCGAAAGCAACCTTTCGCTCAGTTCTTTGTCGCGCGGATCCCCAGTTTTCAGATTCATATTCAAGACGATTTGCTTGCGACCCAAACCGCGCATAATTAACGCTATTCCGGCTGAATCGTCGGCGGTCTTCCAACCGTTCCTCATGCTTTCGTACGAAGCGATTGGGAATGGAGGATCGAGTGATCCCTTGCCGCCTGCCTTTGCATCCCGAGAGTTCGTGTCGCCTGCTTGCTGTTTGACGGCACCGGGCTTCTCTTCGATATCCCCGTTCATGGAGTCGTCGGACAAAACAAAACAACTGTAGGCTCCATCAAAGGCGTCATTTTGAATAGTGTCGGCGTCGTCAGCCCCTAAAGCTGGAGTAGGAGGCGGACTAAGCTTGCTTTCTTTGGCCCCTTGGTCACTGAACGGCCAAGCAGAAGTCTCTGGTTTGTTCGAGCCCCCGGGATGCTGGACGTGGACGGGACTCCGCCGAACCTCCGAAGCCCGATTGTCGACTAGGTTGCCTGCGCCGCTCTCTTTGGTACTTTCTGTCCTGAAAGAAAAAAAATCACGAAGTCAGAATAAAAGACAATATCAGGGTTATGCCAACGTTATTAGATCAACATAGTTACGAAACTGCCCACAGATGCTGCTTCCGCGAGCAGCACCTCTCCATCCCCAACGGTCCGCTTACCGTCGTTCGACGCGCCACCATTGCTTAGGGGATGGCTGCTATGGTAACTGCATGTTACACAGGTTTTGGAGAACAGCGTCTAGATGGCGCTTCACCGCAGCGCCTCAGAGAAATATTGTTGGGAAACGCAGCCTCTATATCTTTGGGAAACGCAGCCTCTATATCTGGGGTCTCAATCTCATTGGAGTTATTGAGCCAAATTTCTGACTCCCGAAAGGTAAAGGGCCAACGTGTGTGTATGTGTGTGTGTGGGGGGGGGGGGGGGGGGGGGGTAATTCTTGAGGAAAGAAGAATAGCCCTGAAGGTTCACCTTGCGTAGCAGCTTTGTCTGCGAGAGATAATAAATTACTGTCTTCGTACTCTGTGCTGCTTGCGAGCTCGCCAATTTGCGAGTGGAATATTTAGCTTTGAACAGTTCATGTGACTCTTTTTGATAAATATATGATGGGGCAAAAAAAAATGGCGCTGTTCCGAGAACGGGCAACCATTTTTCAATTGATCAAGAGGATATACCGTCGTTAGCCTGTCATTCACCTCACTCGGAAACTAATCAAATTCAACGTCATAAAAAAAAAAAAAGTCTTTATGTGACAGGTTTTGCTATCTTATCGATTTTTAGGACAATTATAAGAAGTAAGGCGCGCACTTGAGTGTTATTTTCTGGCCTCTTATTCTTGACGAAAATAATACCTGCAGAAAGGAAAAAAGCGAAACGGGGTGCAGTGAGAAGACGTGCAAGCGGGCAGGCGTTAAGTCGGACCGGAAAGACTGAGCTTCGAAAAACGACGCCGCGTAATCATTAAAGAAACCAAATGTCCTGGGAAGGTTTCCATATAAAAACAAAAAACGGACACCTTATATGTTGTTTGTTCTTTTATGGAGGGGGGCTTTGGTCTGGAAGGATTGGCGGCGACTTTGGAAGCTTCGTCGATTGTCCAAAGTCGCGACTTTGAAAGCATCGCATGCATTTTCCTCAATTAATGTAACTTTATACGAATTCCTCAGATTAGCTAAAATGTTTTCATTGATTTTAGACTTTTTATTTTATAACTTGCGAATTAAAAATGTTGCAAATGGCACCAGTGATGTTAATTTACAGGCATTTTTGATTGCCATTCTCGTTTGCGCGTTTGAAGTTATGTACTCAGCAACACTTTATGTTAGAGCTTGAGAAACTACATTTTTCAAGCTCTAATGAATTGGTATATTATTATTGATTGAAACTACGGCAAAGTAGACCCCCAATAAATGCCACGATAACAGAAATACGCCATTTAGCTATATCAGTCTTTCCAGAAAGGTCAAATGTTGTGTTCTTTTTAGCATATCAATAACTCTGACATCAATATCAAGATAGACAAAGAGTCAAACACTGGATGTATTGTGAAGCCTTATGCGTCACGCGTTGCTTTAAAACAGACACACACACACACACTTCTACTGTCTGACTTGGATTCCGTCTTTGGGTTTTTATATTGAGAACGGCGTTTCTTAACTTATCCGTTTTGTGAATATGTTCGAAACTCATGACCGGTGGCGATATTTTGTAAAATTAGGACTAATTTTGTTCTTCTTGCAGTGGCAATAATGTGAAAGCAATAAATCGTCTAAAAGCCCCAAAACCAATTAAAAGGCCCGCAGTTCATTATTTGACATGATAGTTACCTGAGCGAGAAACGGCAGTAAGGACACACAAATATCAGCACAGATTTAATCAACAAATGCAATATTCCATGTTACCTGTAAGGCTTATGAAAGACTCTCTCTTTTAAGAGGACACTGAACTCCAAAATAATATAAGAGCCTAGAACACACACTTATGTCACAAAATAAAATTTCCGCAAAAAAGTGCCTTAGCTCAATAATTACACTGTTAAACACATCTTGAGTTTTGAAAGAATCCGGAATTAACACATAACCGGGAAAAAAAATTAAATACAAAATAGAGGTTTGATTCGGATTTGTTCGAGAATTAAAACACGACTCTTGGCGTAAAAAATACAGTGAACACAGTTTTTGTTTTAATAATAAAGTGGTGACCTTCGCTCATAAGACGCTAGCTTCGTATATGTAAACGGGTTTATGCTCTTGTATTTCGAGCATGTGTAGCCTGGGTGACGATAAGTGTATCATATATACTGTAAACGACTTAATTTTCGCGGCCTCAGATTTTCGCGAGTCGGGCCAAAGCTGAAATTTTGAAATTATTCGCGGGTTCTAATCTTCGCAAATCGAGTGTAGCTTCCGTAGTGTTCACATGTTGCCCGATTTGTTCGCGAGACGTATTTTTCGTGAATCGAAGGCCATTCGCGAAATTTGCGAACATTAGGTCCCCGCGCAAATTTAGTCGTTTACAGTATATATATGTACCTCAATCTTCCTTCCCCAATACAGTTGTGAGTAGCGCCCGTGTTTGTCTTCTATCTTATGTGCACGTCTTTTTAGTGCTTTTAACCATGGTTCAATACAGTCAACACCAACTAGTCCCACAACAAGTTCTTTTACAAACAAAAACAATGTTTCTATCCTGCTGGGACAAAACAAATTACATGGTGTGAGTGCTATGGCGCAGAAAACGTTATAGGACTCAGCTTTGAAACTCCCTTCGGGGAGGGGGAGGGCGGCATACCCTTTTCCATTTTTTTTTTCCCCTAAAGAAACAGTGACACGCTCCAAAGCTTTTTTTTAATTTTTTCCCAGGTGATTTAATACGGTGCGAGGAGACTACACAAAAAATATTAAGCTACAGAGTCACGTAATTAACCAAAGAATAAATATTATATATAGATAGCGACATCAGTAGGCGACGACAACGAATTTCTCTACAAAATGTTATTTTACGTAAATTTTAGTCTCTCATAAAGTCGCTTGTGGCGTTGCGTTAGCTCTTGTAACGCTATAATCCGGTAGCGGGTCGTGAAGATTACAAACGCGCTACTAAAACATGAAAACGTTGCCCCGCTAAAGTAAATCTAGCGGAGGTCCTAGAGGATTGCTGATAGCGCGGAAATGGCAAAACGATCTACTGAAGCTCTCTGCTACTATAGGATGGCTCAACGGAGGCGACGTTGAAAAACGAGCCGGAAACTTTGGCAAATGCAGATAGAAACCTAAAACTTACACTGAAACTGCACTAAGCAAGCCAGTTTTACCTCTTAAAACTTCAAAAGATATTATTGTCAAATAAAAAAATATATAAGAGCAACGATCTTGCCAAGTCTACCTTGGGCGCATTCGCAGACAACCCAGTGAGCGACGCAAGGAACTTGTGGCGCCACCTACCGACGGGGGCAGCGATCAGACGACGCAATCCGTTTTAGCCGACGACAGCAAATTTCCCAAAGGGAGAAGGAGCGCCCTGTCGACGCACTTTTGTCACTGCTTGATAGGCTACATCGGATTGCAGCGTCATCTGAGACATATTTGAGCTGAGTGAGCGAGATCGGTTCACATACTTGTAGCACCCACGAGTTATTCGCCCCGACGAGTTATATTCTCGGAACGATTAATGACGGCAACAACAGTCAGAAAGGAACGGAGGGGCGGCTCACTTGATGTTGTCGCCCGTTGCGCCTTCAGCCTTCCGTGGCGGCCTGTCTCGCAAGGGCGGCCTGTGGCTGAACGCGCCGACTATGAGCAGGCGGTGGCCTATGGACTTCTTCGCCGGGACCTGTGCGTCGCTGTTGACTGTGTCCGGGGGCTGCACAAGAGAATACACGGCGAAAATGAAGGCCATGTGGCACACAAAAGTAGACCGCATTTTCATTTGTGATGGACGGACGGGCAGTATATGCCATCTTCGTCCAATGCCATGAAGCCCAACGTAATAGGCCATACGCAAACTTCCGGCAATCTACCATCATCATGACATTTGGAGCCGCCACAATGGAGGAATTCTGCCATCTGTTGATGCAGAAAGTCTGCATTAAACTGTTTTTACGATTTTGGGACAATGTATTAGTGCATTCAATGAATTTCTGATTATCATTGATACAACGAAGAAAAAAAATGGCGACGAGATTGTGGGAAAGGAATTCCCAGCAACGATGTCGCAAGGCTCGTCACTGAAGCAATGAAACGTGGCTATCGATGTAAGTGCACGGCCTTTATCGAAGACGCCGTGCGAAGTGCTCTTACGGGAACCCCCTAATATGGCGCAAACTTGATAATTGATCACACGCACGCTAGATGGCACTACGTTTTGCATGTGGTGTATGAAAGGATACGCGCAAAGTCATACGCTCCTTGCTGTCTCCGCTGCATCGGCCACGTGATGGCTCGTTCAGAGTTGCGGATCCGCCGACGGATCCACGGGGAATTTGACGCCGGGCGGACAAATTCGTTCGCTGCTGTCGAAATATTCGGCGGCGAGAGCAATCGGTACGGGATCCAGTTTTCCCGTGCGAAACAAGTTTCGCTACTACCACAGCCAATCAGAATGCAAGAAGTAAATGACACCTAGCAGTCGCCTGCATAGAAGGCGTGGTCTACAAGATTCCGTTTTCCTGCGGGCGTGTCTACATAGGACGGACTGGGCGCTGCCTCAACATAAGACTACGAGAACACAACAGTTCTATGAAAGGAACCGCTCACACACATCTCGCGATGCATTGGCAGGATTGCGCATGCCAACCCCATTTTAACAACACGACAGTGATGTTCCGACACAACCACAAACTACCCCGAGAAATGATGGAGGCGTACCACATAACACAAAACGTATCCTCGTGTGTGAGCCAGCCCACAGTGACTTTGATGAAGAGCGAGATCGGCTTTTTAGATCTCGGATAACTTGGCCGGTTTCGTGTTGAGTGAAAGAAGAAGCGCCAGGGCCACGGGGGGGCGGGGGGGGGGGGGGGGGGGGCATGCCTGCACGAGCAGCAGCAGCATCACATGTATTTTCTTTTCAATAGAATCAGTTGCTAGTTCAGCGCTTGTCTAAACTAGCAACTAGTCTGTCTCCTCTGTCTGTCCTTGTCCTAGTCGAGCTGTAAGTGATAAGCAAATGACGTTTACTGACGTTACATCCTAGCCGAATCGCTCGAGTTGTCTGAGTGACCGCCGGAGTTGTCAGGGTTGCCAATTTGTGCAAATGGCGCCGCCTCGCTGCAAAGGTTCTGTCGGAAGAAATACTGAGGGACACGACGTGGGAATGTCAACTTCTGAACCGCTCACTCAATCGGCATGGTATTTGCAGGTGGTGTTTGTAGCCATATATAAAAGGGGGGCATGCAAAGTTTCAGCTTTGTGAATCAGTTTCATGAGGTACTATACCCCCAGAACAAAGTAAAGTTAGCTTTGCAGGGAATCTGCTCTATGAATATATCGTTGATAAATGCTGTTGATAACCACATATTTTTTTCCGGTGGAATGCACACTGTTGTGAAAGGCCCCAAAGACGATCTTCGTCCTTCCGTCCGACTGCCGCAGGTGAACGCCCTGGAGCGTGGTCACCAGGTGGTTACGGTCAGCTGTGCCCGGAAGCAAAGCGAGAGGCGCCTTCGGGTCGCCTACGTGGCCTCCAACAAGGGGTTATCGAGCTGATCGACGAAGTGTCAGCACCGGACGTAAATATCAACCGGCCCCTCGCCGCCCCGACCGCCTTGGAGCGCCCCTGAACAAAGGAGGGGGCTTTGCGTTCTCTTCCCAGCTTCGAGCGTTTATGCGATTACTCCCTTATTCACGGAAACCAGGACACCTGCACTTGGGAACAATTAACTCTCTGCCTCCATTTGGACTTCGACGGCGCCATTCATTGTCCACCCAGATTGACCGGCGACCAGGGTGTCGAACCGAAATGTTTTTCGTTCCGGTTTTCGTTCTGGTTCAGGGAAAACGGTTCAGCTCCGGTTCAACTCCGGAGTGAAAAAATAAAAATTCAAACCGGTTCGACCGGTTCGTACTCATATGCTACATAAACAATTTGGCAGCAAAAGATAAACTATGCATATTTTATAAAAGTGTTGCATATAAAAAGCGAAGGCTCACATTACTGTGTGGAACGAACGAGCTAGCGCTGGGGCACCTCGGAACGTGGGTGAAAGCACAGTTCAATGCCAGGCAGCTGACCGAAGAACCAAAACGTCGTCAAGCATATCCGAGGAAAGACGACACCTCTGAGACGATCAAATGAACTTCAGTGCATAAAGGGCTCGCTCCATGCCCACCTGGGTAGCAGGCACCCCCAGGGCTACTTGAGCCAATGCATAGTTCTGGATAGCGTTCCCTTCTCACCGCCCAAAACTGCAACACGTTAGCGTCCTTTGAAAGCCGCGGCCCCTTGTCTAGCATTTCCAGGAGGCATGCTCTATCAAGTAGGTTACTGGTGCCTCGAACGTGCACGCCAGCCTCAACCTTTCTTTTCTTTAGGAGCGCTTCCAGGGCGCCTTCCGAATCATCTGCAGCCGCCGCAATTCAGAAGAAAGGGTAGAAACTTGCTCGGAATGCAGAGCTGTGATTCGCCTCCAACTCTTTGTTAAATGCAATGTAGCCCGGTACTTTTGCTCAGGGATGAGAAGAAGGCGGTAGCGGGGATCCATGTACACTGCTGCACAGAAGACATCCGTGTCAAAAATTTATAGCTCCCTCCTTTTTAATTGACTGGACCAAGACCTTTGCTAACGGCAACAATATCTTGGAAGTGTCCATGGAACATCTCAGCCATGCTCCATAGAAATCTCCTACAGTGAGCTGTTCCTTCTGGAATGTCTTCGTCACCACTTCTGACGGGCGAAGCGATGCTGCGAGCATTTCGACTTCCGCCCATACGCCTTCAGTCAACCTGGAGCTTTCTTATTTTTAGAGGAACCCTCCAGCAAAGCCTCCTAGTTCAAGTAGCCTGGTGAGCATATGCTGCGTGGACATCCACCGCGTTGGACAATCAAGCACTGGTTCCTTCAACCCTAGCTTCAACCCGAACCAGCCGAACCACCGAGCTGAGGACCTCGCAGAAAAAAAAAGAATACTGGCACAGAGTTTCACGCTAAGGTAGACTGCAGCGAACGCTAGCAGCTCGCCCAGCATATCCAGTACTAAGAGCCTATATTACCAGTTGAGCAGCGACGCCCGGAACGTGAAGTCTCTTTGTACGATCGTAGCGCTGAATTTTCAGGATGGCTCGCAGAATTGGCCGCGGTCCACCATACGTTAAAGCTGAGCATAAGCAACGAGAGTCGTCGTGCCTCTGAACGCGCCTGAAGCGTGTTTCACATGCAGCGGTTTTGGCCCTAGAGCGGCGCAATATCTGCCGTCGCGGCGCTCTGGCCAGCACCAGCGGTTGAGCGGCACAAGCGCCGCGACGGCAGAAATCGCGCCGCTTTAAGCATGTTTCACATGCAGCGGTTTTGGCCCTAGAGCGGCGCGATTTCTGCCGTCGCGGCGCTCTGGCCAGCACCTGCGGTTGAGCGGCACGAGCGCCGCGACGGCAGAAATTTCGCCGCTCTGGGGCCAAACTCGCTGCATGTGAAACATACTTGAGAGTCTGGACAGAGTAGCGGCAAATCGCGAGGAGCGTCCACCGCCCGCCGTTGGTTAAAAATATTTTTAAAAAAAATAAACACGAAAACACACTTTGAGGGTGGAAATGAAGCAATGCTCAGAAGAGCTGTCCGTCTTGAAGTTTGCGTTTCTGAGGAGAACGCGTTTTGGTCCTTGCTGTTTCTGCTACCGGAGATCGAAGCTGTTTTGCTGTTTTCTGTAGTTGTAACTGTTAATAGGATCCCCCCTTCCCTTCCTGGTGCTAGACTTTAATTTCGATCCGATTATAAAATCCGCTGAGTTATTTTAAAAGCAGATTAGATGCGCCACAGTATGTCAACTAATACAGGTTCTAAAATATCCATCGGCCTTTGTATCGCTTTATTATCCGATCAGTTCTACAATGAAATCAAAACGTTGAAAGTAAAACGCACACAACTGTACAGAATTAAAGACAAAAAACACCAAAACGATCTCTAACTAAACGTTAAAAAAAAAAAAAAACAAGGACAAAGAGAGGTATAGGCAACACTAGGCGTGTTGTCTATACCTCTCTGTCCCTGTTCTTTTTTTTTTTTTTTTTTTTTGACGTTCAGTTTGAGATGAAAAGGCCAACTAGCCAAACTCACCGTTTTGCCACCAAACAGGCTCATTAACTGGTCACTCTTGCTGACGTACATATTGGGTGTCTTCTTCTAGTGATCAATTTTCTTTGATCAACCATTTCCGGTCCCGAAGAAAAGGTTGGGACGAATGTGGGCATTTGATAAAAAAAAAAGTAAGACCAGAAATCCTGGAGAATTTATAGTTACTCTGCTCATTTCGTTTAAGTTCTCGAGACAAACTTTATAAATTATGATGACCAACCGTTATGTAAAAACCTGATAAAGGAAAGTTACACAGCTTTCTGCTACCTATTTTTTCTGCTTTTTGAGTTCTCACATGAACGAAAAACCGTAAAAATTTTTTTTATCATTTTTGCCCAGGAATGAAAAAAAAAATTACTTCGTTCCGGTTCAACTCCGGTTTGCGCGAAAATAATTTTTGTTGTTGCATTTTTTGGTTTATTATTTAGATTACTGTGTTTTTCGCCACGCACTTTTCACGTGATCTGACTTCGGGTAGGAACCGAAAACCGCATGGAAAATATAGCGGTTCCGCTCCGGAGTGAAAAAAATTATTTCGTTCCGGTTCAACTCCGGTTCGCGTGAAAATAACGGTTTT